ACATGCCTTTAATTTTTCTTAATATGGGCCCTTAAAAAAAATCCTTATCTCTTACAGTACTAATATAAGCTGCCAGCACTTTTAGGTCACAAATCTTCACATCTCCATCTTATGTGACTTACAGAATAGTATCTCTGCTGATTATTAGCCATATCAATGTGATGAACAGATTTTGTATTATCTGAAATTAGTCTGAATTAAACATATTCTAAAATTTGCATCAAGGTGGCAGAGGGGAAACTTTAGAGATGGAATAAATCAAATCAAATTCAGAACTACTAAAGGCAATAAAAAGTTCATTCCACATGAGTAATGAACCCATGATCTGCAGTGGTTTTTCTATACTTCTTTATCACCCAATAGTAAACAAGCAGCGTCTAGAGCAAAACAAATGATTTTTAGGATGTATTAAAAGCATTTGGGAATATTGTGTTGTTTAAAAGAGAGTCAGTGCATTTCAACTGTATTGATTTGTGTTCAAATTATTGTCACAGTATCACAAATGATTCGTGTCTAATGCCATTTCCATTTCAAAAATCATCATTTTTTAAAAAGTGTCTAGACCTTTCTGCCTGCAAATAATTCACAATTACTTCCACACACATCCTGCATGTAGAAGAACAATGTGTAGATTTTCCATTTACACACCATTACTTAATTTAACCTATGTCTCCACAGCACTCTGTTCCATAGTGTCTAAAAATTGTTCACAAAAAATCTGGAATGTTTTAGTTAATGCCACAATTTGATTAATTGTATGTTAAAGAAAATGAGAGTTTAAAGATTTAAGTAATCTGCTTTCTGAATCTTGAAATACAAACACTTTAGGATGTATATTAGGATATCAGGTCTTGTTATGCTCTTCTGAGAAGTCTTCTGAAAATAAGATAGTCATCAATTAAGAGCAATAGAACTTGGCTAAGACTGTCGTGCTGTAATGAATAATTAAAATTTTACTATGTCCCTCTCTTTCTCTCTCACTCACCTTTAAGGAGTGTAAATATAGCCATTACTAGGTTCCCTGACAGATTTATTGGACTACTTTTGTCTGATTATAGATAAAATCTGTTTATGGAAGAATGTAAAAAAAATAATAAAGTGTTTCGTTATGGAAATAGTTAAATCCCCAAACCTACAGAGTGGTTAAATATAAATAATAAAGAATGTATGACCAGGGCTAGTCAGAGAAGCACCCAGACAAACACTGACCAAAAAATAATATGGTATAGATATAAAACCTTACCAGAACTTGAAAATTCCACATGGAAATATTTGAAGGCTTCACATATTTTAGCCTTTATAGTTTCATAGCTTTTCCATCCAAATAGAGATTGTGTAGAACATTGGTTGTCTTCAGTGGAAACTGTAGGCATGAATACTAGAACAAACATTTTCCCTTGTCATAGTGAGAAGTGAGTGTATTAATCTTTTTGAAATATAATACTTTTACTGAGATGCAGAATATAAATCTATGAAGTTCCCTATAATTTATTATCTGTAAATATCTCATATTTTAAAGGTTCTTTTTTGAACATTCATCCTAATTCACATTCCCTTCCCCTAGTCTATCCTTAAAGCAAATGGCAGTAATTCCATTGCCATGGCCCAACTTTTTAAAATTATCAAGTAAAACAAAGCTTCCTTAGGTCATTATTGCCAAAAAAGCTAAAAAAATTTGTCTCTTTGAAAGGAATGTTTGAAATATCTTTTTCTTTCCACGCTCGTAGTTTTAACAGAGGTTTCCCAAAATGAGGGGTCTTAAAGCTACTGTAATTGGCTGATTAGTAGTTAGACTAAGATTTCTGGCTCTTTCACTGTATTTAAAAATAAAAAGGTAATTCTGTTCACTTCAAGGACTTTTTTCTAGCACAACATTCTGCATCCAGAGGTGGCCATAAAAAGAAGAGTAGGAAAAGCATTTGTGCTTTCCTCTATCTTCCTCTCTCTTCTTCCCAGATAGTCTCTGCCTCCAACAGTTTTCATCTTGCATTTCTTGAATATGTTGCAGCTTGTCTACTGCTTCCCATTATTTTCCTGGTCTTCCCTAGAATCCATACAATCTATTTTCTTCTCTCTAATATGTTACAAGACCATCACAAGACCATCTACAACAGAGTAGATGCCATTGTAATGGATGTTATGTGACCCAAAACTGGAGGGACAGATAAGTGTGTCCTATTGATATTTGCTATCCTGACATGTTCTGTGACCCCAGCACTAAAATTTCCTCAGTTTTATTCTGTGCTTTAAAAACAAAATATATTTGTCTATTAATACTCTCTTGAGTTGCTGAGAGTTAGTAAGTAAAGTAAGCTCCACTTAGATGCTCTTTCCTTCTCTGTGGTTGGTTGCCAAGTCTTATTTCTGCAAAGACACTAATAATTTTTGAATACAAAGTGAAGGATATTTGTCATTTGCACTGTTTTTCAACAGCTCTCCAGAGCACAGTATTAAACTGATTTGT